CGGCCCGAGGTGGGATCGGCGCCGGTCTGAGGCTGATGCAGTCCTGCGTTATAAATGCACTCCACGCCGCCATTACTCACGATTCAATCAAACGGCAAACTCCTCTCTCCAATCAATCAGCATTCCATACGCGTATCATGCTCCAGTGGGCACCGGGGAGCCCACAAATCAGCCGCTGTCAGCCTCACGGGAGGAGGGCAGGGACCAGGAGGAGCGTGTGTGCGAGGTGCATGCATAGGGTTATAAAGTAAAGTCTTTTTTAGTAATGAACGGACTTGTCACATATGATTAAAAAGCTGAGGAAAGATGAGAGCTTCAGAGAGACACTGGGAACATCAGCTCAACGGCAGGAGGCCCTTTAACATGACAAAAAGGGCCTTGGTTTGGACATGTCTTGTCCACATGAGGACATGATGATTTCCTTTTCATTTCATTGATTAATTTAATTCAAGCAATGGCACAGATAGGTACAGTGCATTTACTAATGTCATACAGTGCAAAAAGAGAAGGACAGAAAGTTAGCGAACTCTGTACCTGTATATCGTAAACATGATTCTACCTGAAAGAGAGGGAAGAAGAGAAGTTATTTAGTCCAACCCCAATTCCCAAATCAGTGATTGATGAGTTAAGCATCACTACTGTATTTTACAGTGTTACAGTGCCTTGCAAAAGTATTCGGTTAGCCATCTTTTTAGCCATCTTCCCTGTCCCTGCTGAAGAAAAGCAGGCCCAAAGCATGATGCTGCCACCACCATGTTTGACAGTGGGGATGGTGTGTTCAGGGTGATGAGCTGTGTTGCTTTTACGCCAAACATATCGTTTTGCATTGTGGCCAAAAAGTTTGATTTTGGTTTCATCTGACCAGAGCACCTTCTTCCACATGTTTGGTGTGTCTCCCAGGTGGCTTGTGGCAAACTTTAAATGAGACTTTTTATGGATATCTTTGAGAAATGGCTTTCTTCTTGCCACTCTTCCATAAAGGCCAGATTTGTGCAGTGCACGACTGATTGTTGTCCTATGGACAGACTCTCCCACCTCAGCTGTAGTTATCTGCAGTTCATCCAGAGTGATCATGGGCCTCTTGGCTGCATCTCTGATCAGTCTTCTCCTTGTTTGAGATGAAAGTTTTGAGGGACGGCCGGGTCTTGGTAGATTTGCAGTGGTCTGATACTCCTTCCATTTCAATATAATTGCTTGCACAGTGCTCCTTGAGATGTTTAAAGCTTGGGAAATCTTTTTGTATCCAAATCCGGCTTTAAACTTCTCCACAACAGTATCTCGGACCTGCCTGGTGCGTTTCTTTGTCTTCATGGTTCTCTCTGCGCTTTAAACAAAACCCTGAGACTGTCAAAGAGCAGGTGCATTTATACGGAGACTTGATTACACACAGGTGCATTCTATTTATCATCATCAGTCATTTAGGACAACATTGGATCATTCAAGGATCCTCACTGAACTTCTGGACTGAGTTTGCTGCACTGAAAGTAAAGGGGCCGAATAATATTGCACGCCCCACTTTTCAGTTTTTTATTTGTTAAAAAACTTTAAATTATCCAATAAATTTCGTTCCACTTCACGATTGTGTCCCACTTGTTGTTGATTCATATTTTTTAAGCCTGAAATGTGGCGAAATGTTGAAAGGTTCAAGTGGGGCCGAATACTTTCGCAATGTATATAATGGTGACTTTATCTCGGGTAACAGATGATTATTACAGTGTAACAACAAATGATAACAAAAATATCGGGAACGAACAATATATTAACAATGGTAAATGCACAATACATGAACAGTGACAGTAAACTTCTGACAAAATACCAACGATGGTAAATTGGAACAATGGGGAAAAGCATTGAGCACATTCATCATTACAGGAGCAACTTAAAGGAACATTTGTCTCTATATTTGGACCAGGTTTGATGTTTATTTAACAGTTTAAATCGATTATTAGAACTCGGCCTTTGCTTGTGTTTGGAGTCCAGTTTGTTCCAGAGTTTTAAGGACACACAAAAACTACGAGTGGTTTGAGGTCTCTGCAATGAAAAATGTCCAAAACCTCTGAAGTTATGAGAGAGAGAGAGGTTTTATACTTGTTTCTTTAGTGCTAGAGTTAGATTTTTTTTTTTTTTTTTTCGTTTGAATATACAGTAGTTATTGTTCATTTATCTTGCGCTGCGGGCTCCTCAATCCTATTGTTCAGTAACTTGTGATGCAACACTGACATTTCCCCGCTGTGGAACAAATAAATAATCTATTAATCTTAATCTAAATATAAATTAGGGAATACAATGTTTTTCCTCCTGCAGTCCTTGACCTTGATCCCAAGAAACTAAAACAGACCTGGAGGCATCCCAAACAGATGCCAGAGCCACCTCAACCTTATCCTCTCTACGTGGAGATGCAGCAGCTCTACCCCGAGCTCCTCACCATATCTCTAAGGCAGGGGTGTCACACTCATTTTGGTCCAGGGGCCACATACAACCTAATCTGATCTCAAGTGGGCCGGACCAGGAGATGCTCTACAAAAATATCCAAAAACGGTACAAAGTCCAACTTTTTGAGCACATAAACACATTTATTTAAAACTTCCTTTAAAACACTATCCTTTAATACTCAGTTTTCTGTTACAAACTTAAATGTAACAGTGAGTTTTCCATAGTGCAAATAATGTAATGTATTTACAATATTACATTGAAAATGGTATTTCACAATATGTATATTAATATTTGTATGTTAGCTTTGTTTTAAGGCTCATTACAGAGAAAACTTGCTCACAAAGGTAAAGTAGGTAGATAGAAAAAAGCACTTTAACACAGCACCTCAGCTTAACCACCTTCAGTGTGGTAAGGTCCATGGTTATGTTATTGTCACATTAACCATCTTCAGTGTGGTAAGGTCCATGGTTATGTTATTATCACATTAACCATCTTCAGTGTGGTAAGGTCCATGGTTATGTTATTGTCACATTAACCATCTTCAGTGTGGCAAGGTCCAGGGTTATGTTATTATCACATTCACCATCTTCAGTGTGGTCAGGTCCAGGGTTATGTTATTGTCACATTAACCATCTTCAGTGTGGTAAGGTCCAGGGTTATGTTATTATCACATTCACCATCTTCAGTGTGGTCAGGTCCAGGGTTATGTTATTGTCACATTAACCATCTTCAGTGTGGCAAGGTCCAGGGTTATGTTATTATCACATTCACCATCTTCAGTGTGGTCAGGTCCATGGTTATGTTATTATCACATTAACCATCTTCAGTGTGGTAAGGTCCATGGTTATGTTATTATCACATTAACCATCTTCAGTGTGGTCAGGTCCATGGTATGTATTATCACATTAACCTTCTTCAGTGTGGTAAGGTCCATGGTTATGTTATTATCACATTAACCATCTTCAGTGTGGTAAGGTCCATGGTTATGTTATTATCACATTAACCATCTTCAGTGTGGTAAGGTCCATGGTTATGTTATTATCACATTAACCATCTTCAGTGTGGTAAGGTCCATGGTTATGTTATTATCACAGAGAAAGCATCAAACTGACCATGATTCAGTTGAAATGAATAAAACAACTTCCATAACGTGATCCATTCTTAACGACTGCAGCAGTGTCTCTGTAAAATACAGTCATATGTCCAAAAATCATCACCTCCATTTGCAGCTTTGTCACTACACCTGTTTTTACCATCGGTACCTGTCCACACTGTCCAACACACCAGCAACAACAGCAGAACCAGCAGCAGCACCAGCAGCAGCGCTCAAAACTCCTCTGATAGTTTCAGTAACACCACAAATGAATATGTGACATCAGTAACATCAGTCTCTTATCAATGGCAACATGTTGGTAAAAGCGAGTGGTTTCTCAGACCATGTCTGCAGCCTGTGAGAGTTTTAACAACTCTCTCTCACTGTGCGGCTGCGATGCTAATGCTAATGTTGTTAGCACAGGTAGCTTCCCTTTACAGCAGCAGAACTAACCTCTCGCTCTGGGCACAAACAGACTACTGTGTCTTCAGGGCCAGACATGTTTGTCTTCTGTTTTCTCAATTCTCCGCTCAAAGTGCCGTATTTTTCGCCGAGTCTTGTAGTTTAAGATGTTATTCCTTCAGCACCGCTCTGGTGGAGCCACTACAGACGCACTGGACTCACCCCTGAGCGCGGCGCTGCGGCGTCACGTCGCGGAGCCTTGCGTCGCGTCGCCTCGCGTCGCGGAGCGGCTTTTTAAAATGTATTATTATTATATTTTTACATAAATGAGCCGCGGGCCGTGTCAAATCTCTTGGCGGGCCGGTTCCGGCCCGCGGGCCGTATGAATGACACCCCTGCTCTAAGGGAACAGCCGGACACTCGCCGACTGTTTGTATCCACAACCTCGTCCTGAGCTCAACTCAGCGTCTGCTCTGACTGCAGACGCTGCTCCCTCTGCACCACTACAGTCTGATAGAGCTCTGACTGCAGACGCTGCTCCCTCTGCACCACTACAGTCTGATAGAGCTCTGACTGCAGACGCTGCTCCCTCTGCACCACTACAGTCTGATAGAGCTCTGACTGCAGACGCTGCTCCCTCTGCACCACAACAGTCCGATGAAGCCTGTTTTTACACACTGGTAATAAAGCCAAACTTTAACAAATCAAACCCTTGAAAACAAACATATTTTCCACTGACATTTTACAAATCTGCGTTGGGAGTAGGACTGAAGTCATGATGGTTTCTATGAATATTTCATGGCACAAACCCATGTTCACCTGCAGAAAACTCTTTAGCATTTTGGGCGCAGTATAATTTGGCGCCTCACGGCAGAGAACAGAGACTTGGTGACAGGTGAAAAAACATGTTCTCATCTATATTTATATCAGTCTTTCATGTGCTCCAGTGGCTCCGTGATCCTATCCCTGTCCCATCAGGCCGAGCGGCGCGCGATAAGGACATTAGCATAGGTAAGGAGCCGCGCAGGCCCCGAACAGCTCTGAGCTCGTGTGGGAATAAGAACATGGAAGTTTATCTACATAACACGACAGACACGAGCTGCGGCGTGGAAGGGCAGCTGCGGTGTGGAAGGGCAGCTGTGGCGTGGAAGGGCAGCTGCGGCGTGGAAGGGCAGCTGCGGCGTGGAAGGGCAGCTGTGGCGTGGAAGGGCAGCTGTGGCGTGGAAGGGCAGCTGTGGTGTGGAAGGGCAGCTGTGGCGTGGAAGGGCAGCTGTGGCGTGGAAGGGCAGCTGTGGTGTGGAAGGGCAGCTGTGGCGTGGAAGGGCAGCTGCGGCGTGGAAGGGCAGCTGCGGCGTGGAAGGGCAGCTGTGGCGTGGAAGGGCAGCTGCGGCGTGGAAGGGCAGCTGCGGTGTGGAAGGGCAGCTGTGGCGTGGAAGGGCAGCTGCGGCGTGGAAGGGCAGCTGTGGTGTGGAAGGGCAGCTGTGGCGTGGAAGGGCAGCTGTGGCGTGGAAGGGCAGCTGCGGCGTGGAAGGGCAGCTGTGGCGTGGAAGGGCAGCTGCGGCGTGGAAGGGCAGCTGTGGCGTGGAAGGGCAGCTGCGGCGTGGAAGGGCAGCTGCGGCGTGGAAGGGCAGCTGTGGCGTGGAAGGGGCTGCTGCGGCGTGGAAGGGCAGCTGTGGCGTGGAAGGGCAGCTGCGGCGTGGAAGGGCAGCTGTGGCGTGGAAGGGCAGCTGCGGCGTGGAAGGGCAGCTGTGGCGTGGAAGGGCAGCTGCGGCGAGGACGGGCAGCGGCGGCAGCGTACAGCGGGAAAGAGTCTCACATTTGACTAATAATTGTGACAAATATTGATTGATACAATGATGATAATAATTATAATAATAATATTAATAATAACACATTTTATTTCCTAGGCGCCTTTCTTGACATTCAAGGTGTCCATACAAGTAAAAACTGTGCATTTTAAGCCATCGACACCCTCAGATACCTATTCAATACACAAAAAGTTAATTCGCACGCACGCACGCACACACACACACACACCCACACACACACACACACACACACACACACACACACACACACACACACACACACACACACACACACACACACACACACACACACACACACACACACACACACACACACACACACACACACACACACACACACACACACACAGATGCACACACACACTGACCTCCCCTCCTGACCCCATGTAAATTCTTGTTGCTCATGGTGTATTTGTATGGACGAGCTCTTAAAAAGGTTGTGACATTCATGTGCGTTTGTGTGTCCATTTTGTAATATATCGTGTATGCCAATAAAATAAAATAAAAAAACATAAAGAAAGGAAGTGCATTTTAAAAACAGTTAAAATCCAAATTAAAAGCCTGGTGGACAGAGGAGAGTGTGGTTATGGTGTTCGTGAGTAGGGTTAGGATTGACAGATTAGTTTTGAGGTGGATTTGAAGTGAGTGAGTCTGTGTTACAGAGGTCAGGGGGGAGAGGGTCCAGAGCTGGTGACAAGGAGGAGGCAGGAGGGACCAGGAGGAGAGAGGAGGAGGAGATCAATTCCCCCTGGGCCTATTTCCTAGTGGTGAGAGCCCGGAACTAGGCAGAGATGGGGAGGAGGAGGGTTGCGGCACAAATGAAGCCACAGATTGAACGGGGCTTGCTCATGATGTGGCTCGATGTGGGCAGTACCTGATCGCTGCCAGGTGAGGGCAGTGTGGCGCTGCAGCTGAGTGTGATTGACAGATGCTGTTGCCGTGAAGCAGCAGTGGGAGGACTATGAGCTTAGTTCTTTCTGTCTCTGAATTTCTGCTTTAGCTTAATTTGTATGAACCCTGCAGAAATGATCCAGAAATAATCTCAAGACAATACTATTGTTTAAGACGAGGGCGAGTCTTTTGATGAATGAAAGTGGCCGTAGCTGCTTGTCACAGATAAGAACCTATATTTGGTCAGGGCTGGAGTGGGAGTGATTTTTCAGTCCTGGAGTCGGAGCTGAGGCCGGCTCTCGAACACACACCGCAACAAACTAACAACCACAGCCCACACAACATGACACACAACTGTCATACCGTCCATCAAACCTGTAGTAAGGTCCTAAACAGACGCCATACTCTCAAATACTACTCTTACTGTTTAACTAGTATCAAACACAAACTCTAGAGGGTTTTCCTGAACACTGTAAAGACCCAAAGAGAAGTGATGCCAAGAGCTGGGCTAAAAGTGCAAAAGCCTAAAACGTCATGTTTTAGGGGTTTTGCTTTGCTTTGAGTCTGATCAAATCAAAGCAAAGAACCATCAAATAATAATAATAATGACAATAAGTGACAAAGCGCCCAACACTAACACGGATCTCAGATTCAGAGAAATACAATGTGAATTCTGGATCAATTACTTATTTAGCCTCAACTTCATAGATATAGGCGTTTGTGCAAGTTTCCTTAAAGCTGGAGTAACTGTATGTACCTGTGTCTATATGTACCTGTGTCTCTGTGTCTATATGTACCTGTGTCTCTGTGTGTCTATATGTACCTGTGTCTCTGTGTCTATATGTACCTGTGTCTCTGTGTCTATATGTACCTGTGTCTCTGTGTCTATATGTACCTGTGTCTCTCTCTGTCTATATGTACCTGTGTCTCTGTGTCTATATGTACCTGTGTCTCTGTGTCTATATGTACCTGTGTCTCTGTGTCTATATGTACCTGTGTCTCTGTGTCTATATGTACCTGTGTCTCTGTGTCTATATGTACCTGTGTCTCTCTCTGTCTATATGTACTGTACCTGTGTCTATATGTACCTGTGTCTCTGGTGAGATAAAAAGACTTTCTGTGTGTATGTGGCTGAGGCTGACAGAGAGTGACACGCCTTTGTCCGTGCTCAGAGGTCCCGGGCCCCTGCTGCTGCTGCTGCGGCTGCTGCTGCTGCTGCTGCTGCTGTCTGTGCAGTGGATTAGTCACAGACAATAGAGCTGTGGCACCTGCTGCTGCCGCTGCACTGGATTAGATGTAAGATCAATACTATCAGCAGTGAGCATCAGGAGTAAACTGAACCAATCACAGAGCAGCACGGTGACCAATCACAGAGCAGCACGGTGACCAATCACAGAGCAGCACGGTGACCTGCTGCGAGCGGCCAAGCGGTCTGCAGATCTATGTTTACAACAGACCATTTTATTTAAGACTTTTTTGTTCAGTGGATTTGAGCCGAAGCGCACACACACACACACACACGCACACACACACACTCACACACACACGCACACACACCCACACACACACACACACACACAACCACACCCACGCCCAGAACGAATGTCGAGAGATCAACATTTCATTCTGTTTTCTTTTGAATTCACTTTTACTGAATCAATCCAAAAACCCAGCCCTGTGTCCAGAACACAAAAAACAAAAGTAATCAAATCAGAGGTGGACCCGGCGAGACCCGGCGAGACCCAGCGAGACCCGGCGAGACCCAGCGAGACCCGGTGAGACCCAGTGAGACCCGACACCGAACCCTCAACACTTCAATCCCATTTGTTTTTACCTAGTCCTAAACCACAACAGAATCAGGACTTTACCGGGCCACACTCACAGAAACACATGTGTAAAAATAAGGCTAGGAAAATACTCAATGTCAATGTTAGCTTTATTTATATGGCACATTTACAACAACAGCAGCTGCCCAAAGTGCTTCACAGGCACAAAAGATACTAAATAAATAACAAACGGTGTCTGTAAACTCAGTTGGCGTGATAAGGGGTGAAAATGTGTTTTTAGACTAGTTTTAAAGGCACACTGTGTAGTTTTTACTTGAGATAATATTTTGTAATTTACAGTGCTACGGTGGCTTTGTAGAACAATATGAGGTCTTTGACAGTGGTCTCCCAAACTCCTTTTTGTCCCTTATCAACCACCGTATTTCAAGATGGCGCATTGACACAGAAAGTGGAGGTAAATATTCTCAAAAAGGTCACATTAGTTATTGGTTAACATGTTTTTTTCAACTGGAGCAACTGTAAAAATTACACAGAGTGGCTTTAAAAACCTCCGATGAAGGAGCGGCTCTGGATCCACAGTTTGAGATCAGCAGCAAAGGCTCGGTCTCCTCCAGTTTCAAGACGAGACCTGAGCACACGTAACAAAAGTTGGTTTTCTGAGCTCCCTGATCTGACAGATTCACGGCGGATAATCCATGTATACATTTAAAAACAAGCATCAGAATCTTAAAATGAAGCCTGAACGTGACAGGAGCCAGTGAAGGGAGTTCAGCACAGGGGTGATGTGTTCTCTCTTAGCAGAAGCAGCAGCACTCTACACCTACAATCACAAGACCTAAAACAAGAGAAAGGTCCCAAAAAAGTATATAAATCTACACAGACACAGAGAGAACATGCAAACTCTCTGGAATCAAACTCATGACCAGTTCTCCTCCTCTGGCCTAGTCCTCTTCTACTCTAACCTCCTCCTCCCACCTCCTCTATTCTCCTTTTCCCACCTTCTCCTCTCTGGTCTCCTCTTCCTGCCTCTTTCTTCCACCTCCTCTTCCCAGCTCCCCCTCCCGGCTCCTCCTCTGGCCTTCTCCTCTACTTTTGTCGTCCCGTCTCTTCCTCCTCCTCCCGTCTCCTTGTCTTGCCTCCTCTTCTGGCCTTTTCCTCTCCGGTCTCCTCCTCCCACCTCCCCCTCCTGCCCCTCCTCCTCCCGCCCTGCTCTTCTTGCCTCCTCCTCATTTGGCTCTTTCTCCACTCCGCCTCGGTGCCTCCTTCTGCGCCTCCTCCCTGGGGGATCCCAACGTCACATAAGGTCCATCTGCCAAAAAGAAATCAATGAACTCAATTATGAATGCACTTCCTGTGTTGTCTCGTCTCGTCTGCTTGAAACTGCTTTGGCTTCAATATCCGAGAGGATGGAAGAGCCAAAGGAGGAGGCCAGAGGAGGAGGTGTGTGTGTGGGGGGGGGAGGTGGGAAGAGAGGAGGCCAGAGAGATAAGGAAGCCAAATGGGGAGGTGAAAAAGAGGCGGGAGGAGGATAAGTCCAGAAGAGGGGGTCTTGTGGAGTTTGGACCGGGTCAGCCGCAGCTTGGAACATATTTGACCCGAAACCACACAGGTTCACGTGGGATCAAAGAGAGCACAGCTGTCAATCAAACCAAAAAACCACCAGAATGAAAAAAACAAAACACAAAAATACATGAATCTACACATGAAGAAACAGGAACTAACACACACAGGGACACACAACCAGAGGAGCACAGGGTTCA